GGATCGCCGCGTGGGCGGAACTAGCGGCAGAAGAGCAAGAGCTCATCCAGTGCGGAGGGATGACATCGCAAGCGAAAGCGAAGACGAAGTGCAACACGTGCGAAAGCAAGGACATTGGAGTGGCGATCCTGAGTGCCGCCAGCGTGGCAACAATAACAACAACAACAACTCGAGCAACCCGCCGCGCAGGATGATCGATGTGGTTACTGTGAAGACAGCCAAGTCGGCTGCACCGACTCAAGCTGAAGGACAAGAGCATGTACTCGCGGTGCGTGACAACTTCAACTACAAGGACAAGGACAAGGACCAGGACATGGTGGAGTGGGTGTTGGATAGCGGCGCGCAGACCAACGTCTCGAGCGACCTTACCTTGTTTACGGAGCTACACGAAGACTCAGTTGCAGAGCTAGTCTTCGGCAACGGCACAACTGAGCGCGCAACTGTGGGCACAGTGCTTATGCAAGTGCTGAACGAGCACACGGGCAAGATCGAGGAGCGCCTCCTTGATGACGTGAGCTACGCCAAGTCGGCTGCCTACAACCTGATCTCGCAGACCTACATGCAATTCAAAGGAAACTTCAAGGTGCGCATCTCGCATGATCAGAAGACTACGTGGCTGGTCAAGGACACATTGAAGCTGCGCTTCCAGTACATCCGCGGGATGTACCGCATGTGGACGCCACGTCAGAGCAAGAACGTGATGAGCGTCAAGGCCAGTGAAGCTGAGAACCCCATGACGTTGCTGCACAACCGCATGGGCCACGTAAACATGGAGACTATCAAGACTATGGCAGGAACCTATAACTTTGGCATCAACATGCAGTCGAAGAATTTTGCTCTCTATGAATGCATTCCATGCTTAGAGTCAAAGACGAAGCGCATGAGCTACAAGCGCAAGCCGTCTCGCTCTGCAAAGCCCTTGCACAAGCTTTGTGCCGACCTATGCAGTGTTGGAGTGGATACAATATCGAAATCAAACCAGTTTCTATTGATTATCGACGAAGCTACGATATACAAGTGGGGATATCTATTAGCCTACAAAG